TCACTGAGAATTGTGGCAACAACTGTGCGCTGTTGAGCTGACAGGACTATCTGGTCGGTCGTCGTCTCCTCTTCTGTGGCATTGGACGACATGTTGACTTGTCTCATGCCGCTTAAATACGAGTCGATCAGCTCCGTTGCCGCCCTGATTTCCTCCAACCTCGTCTCGATGAAGACGTCGCGACACGCCTCGAGCTCCATTTCGCGGCGAATTGCTGCCATAGAGCGCCAGAATCTCGGTCGATGTAGCAGACACAAGGCCAGCCCCTGTAAGTCGGCCGGCACAACTTCGGCCCTTTGAATCCACAGATCGTCTATCTGCCGGAAGGGAACATGCATCATCAGCCATTGCTTGAAAAAGTTGGGGTTCCCTCGGGAATACCTGATGGCTGCCACCAGCACTTCTCCTGCCGGTCGACACTTGTTGACGAAATTCTCCAGGGATGTTGTTCGGTGTTCTAGTGCATACTGCTTTTTCACGAAGCTGTGTATGTTGCCTTGTCGATCGCTCAGACGCAGGAAATCCAACAAAGACATGGAGGGAGCACGCCAATCGCATTGCATGTAGCGCTGTATCTCTGCAGGCATTTTGCTCGTCTCCCATGGCACGGGTACGACAACACGCCGGATGCTCCCGGTGTGAAAACACTGTGGAAACATGTGAGAGCCCAATTGTAGCATCATCTCCATCTCCAGTGGATGATACTCTGACAAGATTCTGACCCCGATATCATGTGCATCTGCGTCTTCCGTGTGTGTGGGCAAGGCCGCTGAAAACTTGGGAATGTAGCCTGCCGTATAGCGCAGAACATGTCCTCGACCGTCGCCTGCTTGAACATCCATATGACATTTTAACGCACCCATGATATCCGGCATATATGCTCGACAGTGCGCAGCAAAGGCATCTTGGGGATGTTGCAACTTCAGAGTGTTGGCCTGGACATCCCACTCGGAAGCTTCGTCTCGCAAAGGCCAGGAGCTGTCCTGGCGATCCAGCTGAGATCCCCGGACCAGAGATCCTAGCGGAGTTTTGGCAGGAGGGAGCGTGGCCGCCACGACTTCGGGCAAACGCGCCTTGCTGTCTGCGTCTTGCAGCCAAATGAGCGCATGCACGTGCACGGTGCCTCTACCATGGTAGAATTGTGCGCGCATTTGCTGCTCCAAAGTTTGACGTTTTCCGTCCTGAAATTCGAGGCGAGCGAAGAAAACCGCTTTCCTGCATCCCGAAAGAAGACACTCGTCCTGGCACGAGTCGCTGTAACTGCCGGTCAAAAGACCTCGAACTGCTTCTGTCAGGATATGCGCAAGATGAAGGCTTTCCGCCGCGGGCAGATTCGTCCTCGAACGAGCTGTCTTGCTCATTTCGTCCAAGATCCATCGATGATATGGAGCCGTCCATTCGTATGGCGCTATTGTAAGAAACATGGTTGGAGTGCCTAGCTGAGCCTGCAAATCTTGTAACGCGGCATGCTTCGTCTTCCAGAATTCCGGCGAGAAGGATTTGCCGGCCAGTGCCGCTCGAAGCTCTGTCTTCACGGCATTCTTTGCACCTCCGATGCCGCTGTACATCCACAGATCGTATATGAACTGCACCAGCTCATGCTCCGTCCCGTACCCAATAACACGTGACATGAGCTTTGCGAAAAACGATGCTTTTGCACTCTGTCGGCGCTCTGCGCAGATGACGAGGTCGTCCTCGCCCTCGTCGACCTCCTCTTCGTCCGGCTTGCCTGCCTTCTCCAATCGTCGTCTGTCTTGTGACCGCACAAAGGTCTCGCACATACTGGTTTCCCAGTAGAGATGAGGCCAGGCTGCACATTCGATCCCGACGGTTTCCATGAAGGCGAGTGGCATTCTCGGCGAGACGTCTTTGTCGTCTTCCAGGGCGGCCAGAAACGTGCGCTGCAGCGCATCGAACTTCTTGAACGAAGACTGTTCGTTCTTCATCAACCAGCTTGCCAGGTCCTGTGCTCGATGGCGGTCCTCTTCTTGGCTCACATCCGCGATGCGCTCCTCCAGAGATTGTTCTTTCCAATAAAATCTGATGGGCGCCGTGTGCACCCAATAGCCATGAGGTGCTTTCTCCCCCGGACCGCAACTAATGCGAAACGGCCGCAGAGCCTCCAGGACGATGTAGGGGACTCGCCGCAGCGGTTCGGGGACGTCCTCTGGGGTTGGTATGGGATATCCCGTCTTTCCATCGGAGGTGCAATGACTGCAACGTGTCGTCTGCTTGGTTCTACAGATTGCGTTCGTTCCCGATGCGCCCGCCAAGAATCTCTGCGGCATCAACTTGTCGCATCCGGGGCATAGACGCCAGCTTTCGTCTAGTGCCCATTTCTCGAATGTCTGGGCCAGTGGTGACTGCCAAGATGTCGTTGCTTCCGACCCGAATACCTCAGGAAACTTCTTGGCAGCGCGTGCTGCATCCTCTGCTCGGGCCGCTTCTCCGCGGCGTACCTCCTCTGCGGTCGTATCCTGCTGGCATTCCCGCCGCTGTAACGCTACTTCCCAGGGATGCTTGCCGGCCGCGAGGGACTGCTTCATGCGATCGACGGCGGCCTCATGCAGCCCGTTGTCTTTCTGCTTCAGAGAGTTGAGAATTCGCTGAATCGCGTACGGTGCTCCGGCCTGTGCTTTCATCATGGCCTTGGAGTCACAGAAGATGCAGTGCTGCGTTTCGCTGAATGTCGATGTGTGTGCTGCCTTGCCGCTGCCATCGCGACGAAAGCGACATGCGTCTCCTTCGCGACCCACGCAAAGCTGCTTCCGTCCTCTTTTTCTCTCTCCTTGCGCCTGCTCGTCTTCTCTGGCTGCGCATGCGGTCTCCTCCTGGGTGTCTTGCATGCCTGCTGCTGATGTTGCGCTGTGCCGCTTCTGCTTCTTACTTGGCTGCTGCCTGCGCCTCATCCCTGCTTCTTGCTTGTGTCTCTTTCCTGTCGGACTCTCGCTGATGCGTTGCTCGAGCGCCGGCCGCTTGCCGGAGTGCGGTGCGCACTCGTGCTCCCCCTGGTTCTTTGCCGTCGCTGTCTCGCCAGTCCTCGCCTTGGTGCTCTGACTATTGTCGGTGATCTGTCGATGGGCTGCAGGTCGATACCGCACTATGCCAACGGCTCCGCGTGGATGCGTGTATCGCCATGGCCGAGAGCATCGTTTGACATCCGACAGCCTCATTGCGAAGGTGTGCTTGTATGGACGCTCCGCACAGCGCCAGTGATGTTGCGGCCACAGTTGCTGCCATTCTGTGTCGGATAGAATCTCCCTGGCCTCCACGATGCAAGCTTCTCCGAAGATCAGACCTTGGTTGCCCAGCCAGATGCGCTGCGGTTTCAGTCGCATGCCCCGAATTTCTAGCTCCTTGGACCCGGCAAGGATGAGACCCAGATACGTCTGCTGCAGAACAAGAATGCGATCGCCCATGGTCGGTATGGCGCCTGTGATCTCGACTGTTTGCGAACGTCTCTCTGCTTCTTGGAACTCTTCCCAGAGATCTTCTATTGCATCATCTCGTTCATCCAGGATGTCGGAGTCTTGCGATGGCTTCTGCATGGTCTTGTCCTCCTCAACTTTCGTTGGATCTTCTTCAGCGAGACGCGCCTCCATCCACGCAGCCCAGGCTAAGTCCTCTTGTGTTCTTCGGCGGGCCGAGGGCCGCGACCGAGTTTCTGCAGCGTCTGCTTTGACGGGTTCGTCATAGTCTTCAAACAACTTGTATAAGGCGGAGGGAGTCCATGCCCAAGGACGTGATGGCCTGGATGGCGTCGCATCATCTATATGCTGACAGACACTTGCTGGGGTGGAGGTTGCACCCTCGCTTGGGAGTATGCCTGAAGCTGCTGCCGCTGAGCCGGGCTCATCTATGTGTCGACGGTCATTGGCAGGGGTGGAAGTTGCGACCTCGATTGGGATTATGCTTGAAGCTGCTGCTCCTGCGCTGGGCAGGCTTGCCTTCTTCCCTGCGCCTGCTGCGGAAGAGCTGTGGGACGTCTCATTCGTTGCATGGCTAGCTGTCGCCTCGCTCGATATGGCTGCCGTCTTCCTTGTCCGAGTCCTGGACGACTTATCGGGTTTCCGATCATCTGCATGGCTTTCGGAGGAGGACGAAGACTTTTCTGATTTGTGGCGTCGTTTGCGGGGCCTGCTCCGCTCCACTTCTTTGGCCAGAGGCTGCGGCAACCAAGACTGGATTAGCTCGAAATGGCCGGATGATTCCCCTGCGGCATCCGGTTCAGTCAATCCGTGCCACACGTGCACCGCCAGAGGACCTTCGCCGAACAGGAAGGGGAGCTCGGAGTAGATGGAGGTTATCATCAAACTCCCTTGCAACTCACGCGCGAAGAAGTGCAGTGCAGCTTCTCCCGGCCAGTCTCTGCGGCGTAGCTGTTGCGCTACGTCCCTGCGACCGGCCGCCGCAGCTCGACCGGCCACGGCGTCGCAGAAATTCTCGGCCGCTGCCCGGAACTGTCGACCCGCATTTGGGTTGACCACAAAGCCAGAACGGTCTCGCTGCAGTGCCGCGAGAAACGCCGTGTTGTGCGCGCCCACGCAAGCGTAGCTGAGACACAAGCCGTCGGGCGGCACCGGCTGCGGAGCACCATCTGGGAGAGTTGGAGGTCCTGCATATCCACGCCTGGCTATCTCTGCGGCGGTGGCTATGGTCCCCTCCGACATGGGATCATAGGCGATGTCTCCTTCGACTGCGGGTCCTGCTGCATGGCCCGCTGAATTGCCCGTGGAAGCTGCAGCCGTGCCTCCTTCTGGAACGCATCCTGTGTCGTAGGAGGCCTTTATCCCAGTCATGAGTTCCTGGAACTCGATCGCCGCAGCGGCTGGGAAATCCACCAAATTGGGCAGATGCAGAATCTGCGGCCAGGTGAATCCCTGACCAAGGAGGGACTCGACTTCTTGCCCGATCTGCGTTTCAAAGGCTCGCAGCCTATCCCGATGCGGTTGAATCTGTAGACTTTCTTGAAAGAGGTTCATAAAGGCAGCGGCCAATCCGCTGCCTGCTGGGAGGATCAGCTCCCTCTCAGATTCGCTCATGGTCGAGGTATCTTGCGCAAGCGCTTTCTCGCGTGCGGCTCTCTGATGCTTTCGCAGCGAGGCCCATGCACGCGACCACAAAACTATATCCAAGTGTTTCCTCCAAATAAAGAGTTTCTCCGGCTCCAGTAGCTCGGACGTCTGTCGCTCTAAATAAGCGACGTTGTCGCACTTAGTCAGAAGTCTCTTGAACAAGGAGTGGAGCTTGTGTTCTGCAGCGTCGGCGGTCTCTTGTGCGACTTCCCCCAGACTTACCCTTGGCACGAGCTGGTACACGTCCTGCAGCGCGACCGCAGCGGTGGCGATCAAGTCCTGAGACACGCTTGACACCGCGTGTACCCAATGCATTGCTTCATGTGCGACGGTTCTGGCCTGAACGCTCGGGTTCTCGGTGGCGGTGTTGCCGCAGAGTGCCTGGCGGGTTGAGCCGAATCAACCCGGGGACGAACGAATACGTACCGAGGTCGCAGCATGCTGCAACCTGTTCCGCTGTCGGCGACTCATGGACCACGTGTTGACACTGCCTTGCTCAAAAGTGTTTACAACAAGGGTCGCTGTCCCTCTCTAAGGCAGCAGCCAACAGTGGCTTGGGCGCCAATGGAAGCGACCTCTCGTCGTCGCTTCACTAGACTTGCAAATACATAATTGAGCTCCGGCCTCAGTGCGGTATGTGGCCGAGTATCCTGTCGGGGTGCGACAACTCGGCTGAGAGCCTTGCCTTTGGTTTCCTGAGACACGCACGCAGCTGCACGTAGGCGAGACTGAACGGGGACTCCTTGCAGGCAGTCCTACGATGCTCACTCCAAATCAGGGCTCCGGGGCCACTGCGAGGTCCACATAGTCGGGTCGGTGCCCATGAAGCACGCGTGCGAGATCGATGCCCTGCAACAACTCTGTGCGCGATGCTGCCCGATCTGAATGCGTTGCTAGCACCTGCGCCACGCACAGTGCAGCGTGTGCTGGCTCGCTCGTGCTGGTCGGCGTTCTCCCCGAGATCAAACCTCGGCCATGGTGCATGTCAAGCCGGCCCTGCCTCGCCGGCCGCCTCCTATGCACGTCGGAGGCACCAGTGCGTCGAACCTGACAACGACTCAGAGTGTGTATCATAACATGGCTTTGCGTCGGACCTGCCTTTTCTGTTTCGGTCCTCGAGGTGGCTGACGGTTGTGCCTGTTGTCTTTCCGCCTTTGCTGGGTACGCTGCACAAACCACTATGCCGCACGCGACGGCCTCTGCCACCAAAAAGGCCGCATTAAGGATTTCGTCGTCTTCGGCCGTCCACGGCTTGGTTGTGGCTGCTGCAGGCACCTGCCAGGTTTCAGCAGCTCCAGATCGAGTACTTTCACAGTCAGTTTCCGTTCACGATTCAGATATAAACTCGCCCACCTTGAAATCCCACAACTCCGAAAATAAGGACTTTCATTCGTTTCAACCAGCTTCATTTCCTGGAGTTCTCAACTTAACTCCACAATTGTTTGCCATCACCCTCCCCCCCATGCAGGTCTGCTGCAACATGTTATATACAAAGTCTATGTCACGGGCCCCGACCATCTACATCTCCCCACCCTTCTATACATATGAGTGTAGTTTCCGCGTTTGTTATGTGGCACTTCAGATACGCTCAAAGTTTGCTGTCGCGTTCCGACGAGCTGGCTCTTGACCTATGCTACTATGTAGAGAAGCTCTTGAGTCTTGAAGGTCTTTCCTTAACTCGAGAAGAAAGTTTCACCTGGATGCTGTCAAGCGGCTCTCACAACCTATTTGATGGATTTGAATAGACAGTCCTAGCAAGTTAACGATTACGTTTCCATCGCAAGCTTCTGGCTGTGCGAGCAAGTTAACAGCGAAGAGGCTTGGTGACACGATTACGTTTCCATCGCAAGCTTGCGGCTGTGCGAGCAGGTTAACAGCGAAGAGGTTTGGAGACACGATGACGTTTCCATCGCAAGCTTGTGGCTGTGCGAGCAAGTTAACAGCGAAGACGTTTGGAGACACGATCACGTTTCCATCGCAAGCTTGTGGCTGTGCGAGCAAGTTAACAGCCAGGAGGTTTGGTGACACGATTATGTTTCCATCGCAAACTTGTGGCTGTGCGGGCAAGCTAACAGCGAAGACGTTTGGAGACACGATTACGTTTCCATCGCAAGCTTGTGGCTGGGCGAGCAAGTTAACAGTGAAGACGCTTGGAGACACGATTACGTGTGGGGGGGGGCTGTGCGAGCAAGCTAACAGCGAAGACGTTTGGAGACACGATTACATTTCCATCGCCCTATTTGTCACGAGACTTTCCCATTGTCGGGTCAGCTGCGGGCGTCGTGATGGACTCAGAAGAGCACCAACCGTCGCGGTGGAACATAAAGTCTAGGAACTCCAACGCTGATCCCTTGTTGCGTCCGGCCTTGGTTCTGTGTCGTTTTGGCCTCGATTTCGACTTGCACGGCCCGGGTTGGCGAACTGCCTCCCGCTTCCATTCCTTGGACTCCAAGATTGGGATGATTCGAGCTCACTGCAGCCTGCCTTGTCCACGCAAATCCAGCCGACCTGATCTGAAAGCATGGTTTTCCTATAGCTATTGACGTTGCCGAACGCCGAGGTCTGTACCGGGGTCAACAATTGGAGACGGCAGCGCGTGTTCAGGTAATCTTGTTGAAAGGAGTCCCAAGGAGACACCTGAGACAAAACGCACGGGCGACAGCCAAATCCTCGCGCTCTTGCCTCGTTGTCGTCCACCATGTCAGCCCACCGCATGCCGGAATTGCTGGGCATGGCGACTGAGGTCCACAACGCGGGCCGCGAACTTCACCGAAGTTGTTCGCTAGCGCATGGCAGTCTCAATCCAACATGTTTTGCCGCGTGAACGTGCATTCCGAGCTAGGATGTGCACGGAGTTTTTTGTTATTGCACCTTATGGCGCGTTAATTATGCGATGTATAGGTCTTTCACTCCCGATCTCAAACATAGCGAGTTTGCTGCGAGGATGTACAGCCGTGCATGGAGCATTCTTCCAGGCGCAGTCTCTGGCGAACCGCTGACTGCTGAGAAACCCGCAACTTCTCCAGAATCATCTCGCGATTATGCCTCACAACAGGGCATGAAATATGTCTGGCATTAGCCCCGACACCTCAAAACCGTGGCAGGGAGACCCTTGATTGTAGCTTCTTTCTTCCAGAGCCGAGTCAAGGTCACTATGCGGCGTGTACCGAGCTAACAACAACAAAGCTCGACACGTCTGTAGCAGCCGCTCTGTCTAGGGCCGCGATGCGCTCTGTGCCGAAGCTTTGCTGCGATGGGCTCCACCGCTGCGTTCTAGAGCATACTCCCTAGCGATCAGTCTAGTCTCCTGTCGCGGCCGCAGCGCCAGGGTTTGGTTCATCTGCAGTCGGGACCGTCTCATCCATGTCCTGCTCGACGATAAAGGCCTCGCCGTCTTTCTTGGACGATCGCTTCGTCTTGGCTTCAGCCGAGTCCGTGCTGGGCGCTTCATTCTTGCGCTTCCTGCTCGTCTTCTTCTTGTCGATAATCACTCCGGAGCTGTCCGAGGAGGCATCCTTCATGGCCTTGGCCTTTTTCATCTTCTGAGACTTCTTGCTCTTTTTCTTCTTCTTTGTGACCACCTCGTCGGATGAGGACGTCTTGGCCTTGCGTTTCTTGCCGAGGACGGGGCCGGGCGAGTCGGAACGGTCTGAACCGTAGCGCCCCCACGGGTTGCTTTTGTCGCCCTCGCTTGCCTCGGCCGTAGAGGAAGACTCGTCGCCGTGCCAGGTCTGGGCTTGCTTCCATGACGCCTC